CGGGCGGGCGGTGGGGCGGGCGCTGGCGGATGTTGGAGGGAACGGGGGGGGCGATGCCTTGCCCTCCCTTCGGACGCCACTCGCCGCCCCGGCCACACTCGCCGCTGCGTTCGATATGAAATCAGCACTCGTCACCCTAGTAGTATAGTGCTCTGGAATGAGGGTCGATTTTTTTCCGTTTCACTCTCGTAGATGAGCGAAATGTGAAACGGGCAAGAATAAAACAAAAACGTGTTTCATTCGGTAAGTAAACTCTCATGCTGGTTATGCTGTTTTTTTGCCCTTTTAATCGTATTATATTTTGCTTTTTCTCTCTATTTTTTTATGTCTACTCATTATTCATGGTCCCACATTACTCGCTGAACAGTACGAATAGAAAACAAACAAAAAAAACTTAGTGATGTAGGTCTTGTTTGATTGTGATAAAATCATATTATGAAACTTAAAGTACTTTTGCATTTACTAACCTTATTAGCGTAAGCTGTACGATGTTGAAACAATTGCATAATTGCACAATCTATTCATTAATCTACGTCTGCTAATACGAAGTTAAACACATAATTCTCAGAAAATTAATTGCTAGAGCGTGGCGCGTGGGCGGTGGGCGTGCAGCGTGGCGTGAAGCGTGGCGTGAGCTGTGGGGCGTGAGCGTGGGCGTAGAGCTGAGCGTGGGCGTGGCGTTGGGGCGTGCGGCGTGGGCTTTAGCGCGGGCGTGAGGCAGCTGCGTAAAGCGTGGCATGAGCCGTGGCTTTAGCGTTGAGCGGTTGAGCTTTATGCGTGAGCGTCGGCGTGAGCGTGAGCGTGGGCGTGGCACTTTAGCAGTCGTTGGGCCGCTTGAGGAGTGCCTAAGCGTGGGCGTGGGCATGGGCGTGGGCCGTGAGGCGTCGGGCGTTGAGCGTGGGCTTTAGCGTGCGCCGCTGAGAAGTGCGTAAAGCGTGCGCGCATGAGCGTGGGCTTTAGCGTGAGGCGTGAGCGTATTGCGTGAGCGTGGGCGTGAAACGCTTGGCGTGGGCGTCCTGGGACTTAAGCCGCGGTGTGGCGTGGCGGGGCGGGGGGCGGTTTGTCGCGCGCGGCGCAGGCGGCGCGTTTGCGAGTGATACGGTGTCAGTTACCGTCCGGCGGCCCCTGCGGAGCGCCACGTGCGCGCGCGCCCGCCCAGGCAGGTGGCTGCGCCGCCCGCCGGCTTATCTGCGCGCCCGCCAGGGCGAAATGCCGCGGAACCGCATCCGCCACTCCGCTGCGCAAACAATCGCCCCCCGCTCGGCAACAGGATGGCGCGCCTGCAAGCAGGGATGCTTCTCTTGTAGAACATCTGCCCACAAGCGCGCTCGTGTTTTGTGAACGTCCGCTACACTTGCAGGCTAATCTCTGTAAATTGAAGGGAGAGCACCATCAATTCATTGAGGAGTCAATTAACCTTCATCTGCTTACTGTGTTAGATTGTTTAATCTTGTTTCCTTATTTGAGTAAATAGGCCTACTTTTAATTAATTAAATTTCATGATAATGCACGTTTGGAGATTGCAATTTTAATTTACTTCAGTTTAAAATTTATACGTGTACTGATGTTTTAGAGTTGCTTAACACTAAGTGACCAAGTGTATCATTGAAATTGATTCTACCATATCCTTGGAACTCATTTAGTGACCTCCACGTCCATTGGCCAAAACACCAGTAGTTGCACCACACTTATGGATTATTTACAATGTGTGCAATGAAATCGGAAGTAAACGAAAACAAACGCATCATTTTTGCAAGCAAAGAAATTAGTTTCTGTCCTTCTTAACGGCCCCGGTCATTACCGTTTGTCAGTTGACCCGCTCGCTTATTAAATGTAATTAGAAGCTTGATGTCTACAGTACATTGGCAACACAAAAAGGACGGACAGAAAATATCCATGTCGCTGACAGACAAACTCAAACACCTACAAATCGCCGCCTGTCCGCGGAAGTCATTTTGTTTCCCGCGTGCAACCGGCGAATCCGCAGAAATCAAAGGGGCCGCCCCCCCTCCGCCACCACCGCCCTTCGCCAGAAAGGTGCGCGTGACAGCGAGCCCGCGCGGACGCATTTTCCGCCGCAAAGCGCCGCTGTCGCCGACGATTTTATGCTCCCCCTACCCCCTCCCCCTCCACCCACCCACCCGCGCCGCGGGAAATAAAAACAAATTTGCAGCGCCGGCAACGCGATATTTCACGCGCGCTCGCCCGCTGTCGCCCGCGTCGCCGCCGCCCGCGTCCGCGATATTTGCTCCATTGAAGTGTCGAACGTTGGCCCAACTCCTCTCCCTTCGCGACGGCTGGCGAAAAGGACGCGTGCGAAGCGGCGAAAAAAGGGGCGATAAAAAACGCGGCAAAACACAACGCGACCAGCAGGACCTGAACCGTCACTCCGCATATTTTGGTCACAGCGCGGCGTCCTCTGTTTTGGGGTTGTTTTTGAATTTTTTTTTAAAACGATGGTGAACGCGTGTGTTTATTTGGCGAGCGGCCATCCTTCACAAGAAGCTGTTGACACAACTCTGGGAGTTGCTGCCGGTTGAATGTGAAATACCTGTTCGCAGTTGCAACTGTCATAGTGGTTTTGGGAGATTGTAGGCAGAATGGCTTCACTGAACGTCTGGCTTCGTTCTACAATTTCCGACGGTTATATTCCAAACTGGTACCAGTTGGAAAGTAACAATAATTTACATTCATGCTGTCTTACAATTTTCTTCTTGAGCAGCATTTTTTTGATTTCTCGCACAATTGGCGATTTCGTGTATACTTAAGATAATCCACGTTCTACTTTGTTTATTTTCAAAATAACTTAAATACTTTTTACATATTTTTATCGACTATCAACAATTGTATAAACTTTTATGTGGTTGCTCATAGAACTATAGATTTACTTTATTAAAAACTAAGTTAATTTCTCTGTGTGATTCAACTGTTAAATTAAACAATTCCTCGATTGAATATAAACGTTCATGAGTTCAGAAGTAAAAATATTGGGTTAAAGTGGAAGTATTACTGCAAGTGATTCAAACACCCTCATCGGACAACCGTTCGCTTTAATTAGCGCGTTATAACATAACTGTTATAAAACTTACTTGGACAGTACAATTAGAATTAGGTTCTGCGAGTGAATCGGAACATTGCGATTCTCAGACGTTCGCAACAGAAAATATTAGAATGAATTATGCGTACTTCACAAACAACTTTATCATATAATATATTACATTTTATATCGTAGAAACTATTGCGACGTCATTACAAAGAGATGCTATACAAAGAGATCATAAACCGATCTATTAATTAACATGGACCACAATATGAGCACATATATAAGGACTTTAAAAACGCGAACACGTATCAAAAAACTTTCAAGATCGCTGAATTAACACAAAACCAGTTTAAATGTTGTAACAATAAGTCTTGTATTAATGTATTGTGTTCATTTCCAAAACCGCTTTACAAATCTGTCAACGACGAGATTTCCAAACTTCAATTGCAGCATGTGAAATTTATAAAAATCAAGAAATTAAATGAGGAGTCTCGTAGATTGTATTTCTTATTAAAAATTGAAATTAACATTAGAAAGCAATGAATCATCACTACGTTCTCACCACAATTCCCACATTTTCGTGAATCTCATTGTTTGCCTTTTGCGCCCAAAGAAACTAATTAGGATAATTTACATGTGAATGTAATAATGAATTGTGCAGACTACGATCCTGCAAAAGCAAGCACGGAAATTAATACTTTACTTCCTTTTTTCCAAATGAGATCTCTAAATTCTAAATTCAACAGAATCAGAGGTTAAAATGCTCAGTTCCCCGTATTAATGATATGCAGAACTTTTTGTCGTCTCTGCTACGGCGTGGTTAATCCTGTAATTAGGAGCGACGGGGTGAGGAGCGCCGCTGCAATCTGTCACCTGGAAAGCTTCATGCCACGAGCGCCACGGGGCTCCCGGCGGCACGGCCTGGAGGGCGGATCGCGGTTGACGGCCGACGGGCGCGAGCGGGCAGCGACGGGCGACACACGTCCCACGCTCTGGACAGCCCGACTCCGGCGGCGGACGGCGCGTGCGTGGCGGGCGGAGGCGGCGCGGAGCGCGATCGGTTGTATTTGGGCCGCGTTAATCTAGCCCGTTACATCAGGAATTAATAATACTGTTCACTTACGGGCATTTGATCAACACATTTAATGCCAGCTGCGTACAGCATATGTTGAAAATCTGTATTGTCATGTCATTAAGTCCCGCAGGTGTTGAATTCATTGGTCTATTTTGATCGCAATGTTCGTCTCACATCGAAACTAGAAGAATAAAACTAGGCCCCGTCCTCGCCCGATCCCCGCCTGCTCCCCTTCAGATGCTTGACGTTTCGCGTCGTCTCCTCCTTTTGTTTCTCATCTTCCCTTATTAGTGTTTCTCTTCCGTTTCCCGCTTGCCTTCTGCTCTGCCCAAGGCTGGGAAGGCTGACTTCCTCCCAAACGTTCCGAATTCTCCCTTCTCTCCCGCACCCTCTCCTCCGCACACCCTCGCGAGCTGTTCATCCATTCCTTATCCCCCTTGCACTCCCTCGTACATTCGTTACTCTTGCCACCCGTCCTGGGCACCTCCCCGCATGTACTTCTCTCTTGCCTCTCTCCCCGCCTCTCCCTCCTCCTACCTTCGCCCTTCCTGTGTACTGCTCTCTCCCCTCGAAAGTATATTTATTTATTCGTCTCTTCTTACTTTCTTATTCTGCTTGTAAACCATCCTTATTGTCAGCGAACACTCTTATTTGTTACATGAGTTTCCAAAACTCTCTTCACAGAAGTTATTTTAAAAACCTTCGGAGTTTTCGTGGCCTCTTTTGTAATAAAATAAAGCCCACAAAAATGCATGTTTTCCTTCGTCTTTGTCCACAAATTCGCTAGTTATCACCCGAATGTAAGTTGGTGTTGCAACGATTATTCGATTATTAGTGTGCGTGTGAGTGTTCAGATCGAGTTAAACGGAAAAGGAATGTTATCATAACAACGATGCTTCTCCCCTTTCCCTCTCCATCAGTACCATTTTCTTCACCTTCATGTCCATTTCTACCCGTTACCTCCGCCTACGCTGACGTTCCTCTATCCAATCCAGAACAGAAGTTTCTGTGGCTACATCTCCCGTTTATTCCATCATCCCCATAACTCTACTGTCTCAGAAATCGCTGCAACCTTCACCACCGCCATCACGTATTTCCAAATTTTATCATGGAAATATTTCTACACCTCCATCACTGCAACTACTGCAAATTCTGCGCTGACATTCCCGCTCCTTCTGCCAACACCTTCAACTCCCAAACACCCTCAGCTTCTTTCCATCTCGGCCACCGACAGCGGCATAATTTCTAAGCTCACTATCTTGACGTCTGCCTCGAATCCACAGCAAGTCCCGCTAATTCTATCGTTTCATCAAGACGTTCTCTGGATCTTCGATCCACTTTGATTCGAATTTATCTGCAAGACCAATTAGTGACGCCACCACTTCCATAACTACCTCGTCAACACCTTCGTCTACTTCTGCCATCGCAACCACCGAACACCCAGACACATGTAACATTTGTCTCAGCGTCAAACAGCGCAAGCGACAGTTCCCGCCCGCCCTATCTAACAGCGCCCCAACCACAGCGAAATATTCGCTGCCATTCTCTGGACTTTTGCAAACTCACTTTGACATAAAACTTTCCTACAAAGCTGACTCTACCTGTGCCTTATTTCAGTTGCTTTTGTCTTTACCATATTACCCAAGCGTACGATATACGCCCACTCGTGTCCCACTACAATGATCAGTATCGCATCTGCGTGAAGAAAATCTCAACCGACAGCTAGGGCCGCCTCAACCGACACTCCCCGCGTACCCGTCAAGCACCCGCCTCCACCCTGGTCGCCACAAGCACCAGCTCAGCGGCCGCAGGTGGCTAGCCGGCGCTACGCGGCGCGAACCGTGAACGTTATCTCAGCTACGAGGAGGAAAAATCTCCTCAACCGCCGCCTAGGGCCACCTCAATCGCCCCTCCCGCAGCCTCCGCCAGCTCGGCGTGGCAGGTGGCGGGCGGCGCTGGCGCGGGGCGGCGCCAATCGCCGGCGCGACCTCGAGCGGACGCGACCGGAAGCGGGCGCGCGCGGCGGCTTCCGGGGGCGGGGACGCGGCGCGCCGGAGCCAACCAGCGCCCCAGCCCCGGCCCCGCGGCCGCGAGGCGCCCGCCCGCCGACCCATCGCGCCCCCCTCCTCCTCCTCCTCCTCCGGGCCACCTCGCGGCCGCTCTCGCTCAGTCGACGCGCGCCAAGGCCGCGGACGCACAGTGCAGCGCCGCCCCAGCCGCCGGCCAAGCATGGCCCCGCTGCCCGGCGTGGAGGTGGAGCGAGCGACCGTCCGGCTCCACGAGAAGAGCGCCCCCGCGCGCCCGCCCCGCGCCTGCTACAAAGTGAGCATTTGCTTTACTCTTCAATAGGCATTGCCTCATACGATTTTATGCATTATTGCTCATTTAAAAAGCCGTTCTTTAATTCTTTCTTCCTGAATCTCAATTTATTCATTCTATTCATTTCATTGACATTATCAAAATGGTATCATTTTACAAAATTCTAATAATTTATCATTTCTCGAAAGTCTCACGGAACAGTGCATTTGAAATTATTGTTCCTATTATTATTATTATTATTATTATTATTATTATTATTATTATTATTATTATTATTATTATTTCTTTCAAGTCTCTCGCTTAGCTTATTATTATTGTTCCTATTATTATTATTGTTATTTTTATTATTATTGTTATTTTTATTATTATTATTATTATTATTATTATTCCTAATTATTAGCTTATAGGTAGAAATGATCATAGTGAGCGCGTATTAGCAGTACATTTCTTCACTGAAGAAATAAAGTAATTTTTGAAAGGGTGAATTAGTTTTGAGGTTTATGACAGGTGGTTTTTAAACACAATTAGACCTTGCGCATTGATGTAAATCCTGGCTTACAAACCTATATACTTACTTATTATTTTTTTATCAATCTAACCGAAGATAATTATCCAAAGATTATTCTCGTAATCTAGGGAATTGTGATATTAATATTAGTAATTTTGCGATATATTTTCAAATTATTAACATTGTTTATATTACCTATTATTACTAATATTATTATTGCAGTTTAATTGTAGCTTTTCGCCTCACATGTACCTGAATTTTCTGAAATTATGGCAGACCTATTCGTGTGTAGATTGAAAAATATGGCAATGTGTGATGGTTAAAGTTCAAATCTAGTATTACATACTCGTTACTGATTGTATAAGTTACGTTTGATGATTGTATAAGATAAAATGTACCTGAACAGTATCGGCGTTACTGAAAGCAACTTTGAGTAAAACAATTCTCTTTTTAATTTTTGTCAATTTCATGTAACTTATTAACCTTTTTATCTTAAAATACGTATTCAAATCTCAGGTGTAACTGTTGTCAACGAAAATCATATTCTACTTCCGTAATGACTCAGTACATAATTGATGGTGCAGAAGAAATTGTACACAGGTCCGTTTGTCTGACGTAACCTAGTACATCTTTTCTACCGGCATTAATGAACAAAGTTTTTAGGAAGTACAGGAGCTGTAATGAAGATTAATGGCTCCCTGTCTCCACAACACTCCACAAAGACCGCGCTCTACCAGTTCGAAAATGGGTACTTTCGTATTCTGACAAGAGAGGTGTTCTCATCAATTTTCGGCAAATCTGCGTCTCAAGCGCTACCCTGGAGCTGATGAACGAAATCTGTTGTCATGGCTTAGTCAGGTAGGGTGAACTGCCAGAGGAGAAATGATTTCTCAGAAATCCAAAATGATTTCTAGAGATCCTTGTTGCAAAATAATACTTGAGTAATTAAAACTCACGCATTCTCCAAAGACGCGCCACAAGTGGTTACGTCCGCCAATATAATTCTGGAACTCAACCGAAAATTACTACTCAAAATTATTTTTGAATGGTGTGTATGTCGTAGACTATTTAGAAAATTGGGCTAATTGCTAATTGTAAGAGCACCGTAAAAAGGGTCTACGCTCATTAAAACAAGCCTGATGACACAGACCAATGGGAGAAAGCGAGACAATTTGGTAATTATCCCGAATCTACATAAAATGACGGCGCTATTTTCAGAATGTCGGATTTTACCATTGGTGTACGAGTCGCAGGCCACGACACGTGTGTCTGAAAATTTAGTGAAGATTTCAATTGAAAAATATTTTTAAATTTTTTTCTTTACAATTAATAATTAACATCTGACGACATTATTAGGACTTACAAATGTTGCGGCAATCGTTTTTGGCAAGGACTACGAGTTCTAACTTCGCGCAGTGTACTTGGGGCGAAGAAGGCAAACTATTTTCCTTCGCTTATATCACGGCAATCATTATTCATTTTATAATCACTAAGGAGAGTTAATAATTGGTTATGTGAGCTTGGTTGCCGAAATTGCTGTAGAGATATGACCCAAAGACAATTTACGTTTAAAAGGAAGTATCTTGTTAATATTAGTCAGTCAAATTTCTATTACGTTATATGTTTTTATACTTGTATTATCCAATACATTTTAAAGCTTTTTTATGATTTGCTTTCGTATCTGCTTAAATTTATTTAATGTCGGAAACTACGTTTGGTTCTTTATTAATTAAACATTCCACTTACTTTAACTTTAACATGTGCTAATTGAAATACCTACTTAATATTTTCAATTCAGGAACTTTACTATGGTTTTTATTCTGTATTTCACGCCCCCAAACTTACAATGTAAGCGCATTGTTTTTCTATGTTTCAAAGACTTTTTTATTTAGCGATAAAACATTTAACTATTCTTGATTTCATCGGGATCTCAAAAGCCAAAATGTTACAAAATATGTATGTTCATTTAGAAATAATGTGCGAAACAAAACTGAGGTACATGGCTGTGGGTTCAACCACTACGCCCTCCCTCGCCAATCCTTCGCGCAAGACGAATCGAGAGAAATCTGCGAGGTGACGGCTGCCGTCCGGGGCTGCAGAAGCACGATTTGGCAGTAAATTAGCGATACGCGGGCGTGTGGGGCGGGGGGGGGGGCGGGAATCTCTTACGGGAGATCTCACGTCGCTTCGCGCGGCGACCAGACACTTGCATTCTGGGCCCACCTCCCCCTGCCGGCCTCGCCCCGCGCCCGCCGCGCCGGGGCCTGCGGCGCACGGACAGACGGCGCATTATACATTCTATTTAGTGGGCGATAAGGCACTCGTCCCGCCACAGGTGACTGCATCGCCCGGGCGATCGCGGCCCCTCCGCCCTGAGTGACGCTCACGTGCGGCGGAGAGGGGGGCTGGGCGGCCCCCTCGTCACCGTGTCAAATCGGGTGGGTGGACGCCTGCGTTCTATCTGCACGCACCACGCTCGCGCGCGAGGAGGCGTACGGAGAAAGGGCTATTGAAATTCGCCTCTTATCTTTGTGTTTCACTGCTCTCCTAGAATATTGTTGGCACATGTAGACCCCATTCGATCCAGTTTCTCTCTACGTGAGATTGGCGTAGATCTTCTAGGCTTAATGCAAAGACGTGGTCTGCGGAGGAGACGAGGAAAATATACTAAAAGGAGGTCAGAACAATCTGTGCTTCTTCGATTGTTTCTCGGTTACATAAAAATCAACTTTAAATTAGAAGTTGATGTTCAAAGTTGTTCGGTTGTTCGATGATGACATCAGGTATCTCAAATCGTTTCGACAAAGGATTGCCGTTTAAATCCACTATTCCTAGGATGAAACAGTTGTCTCGAAATCTATTTTCCTCTTTCCGTTCCCTGAGATTTGCTACATGCTCTAATCTACCACTCGTTTCCTATGCATAAAGAAGAAAATTAATCAAAAACATGATTGTCTTAATTCCTTTTGAGTTCTGAGAAAATTTCAAGCACTACTTTGTATCAAAAATCCAACAAGTAAATCATTAACAATTGTATCAGAAATTTTCTAACTTTAAATACATAGTTTTTTACGTTTAGTTAATTTTGTGAATGAATATTCTGAATGGAGCTCCAGAACACAAAACATAGCTTAAGCACGTTAAGAGCTTATGATATAACATGCGAATTATGTTTCGTGTGTGTTGGTATACATATATGTATCTGGGAACATGCAAATTCGTACGTGTTCTGGTGATTATGAATAGTACATTAAATGTGTCTATGCACTTGCGTGTACTTTATCTTATATGTCGAAGAGATCTATCTCATGACCATACTAAGAACTATTTCCTTGCTTCTCACTTTCCCGAGCCGACAGCTATTTTTCCTATAAAGATACTGTTTGTTTACGCGACCTTCTCTTCGCTGTGGTTTGAAAAACCAACTACATAAAATCAGCTAACACGTAGTATACGTCGATCACAACATTTTATCACATAAACAAGAAATTAAATACGTCAACGAAATACACTCATACTTCAAAGCAACTTCTTCTCGAGTTCATAGATACCTCAGTCGCAAATACATAGTTTCTTGTGAGTGTGTATGCGATTCCAAGTCGATATCAATTTAACATGAAGTCCTAGCTCGCAAAGCAATTCGAAAATTACCTATAAGCGTCAAATTTTAGTTTAAAACGCCGGGGTCATAAGGAAAAATATCAGCTTTTAAAACATGGTCGTAAAGTTTTAGACATCCTCATTCAGCAGTTTTCCTCAATACAATCTCATGAGTTTACATTCCAAGAAAATCGGTCTCAGTGCGGTAGACACGGCGTGCCACATATATAAAATGTTCTTTTCACACGAGCTTACCACACTTTCAGTCTCTACTCAGCGTTCCTTTCAGCTGGCATTAACGTTCTGGTGCCGCCCGTTGCCTTCCTCGAATACGACTGGCGCGCGAAACACCCCCACGAGAAACAGTCGGGCCGCGTCCACGGCGCGGCGTCTTTCAACGAGACGTCCCCCGCTTTGCAGCCATTCTTCCGCGTGTTGTTTCCAGCTGGCTGAGTGACACGTAGCGTGTCGCTGGCCACTTCCGCTTAGAGGAAATTAAAGATTCAATCTCGAGACGCGGTAGGCACATTACGTCTCCTATAAACCGCACACAACTCGTCTCCGTCTCGGCCGCGCCGCATGAAAGACGTCCGATTTCTTAAAAAGGACGACAGATATAAAGCACGACGACCTCCCAATCTCAGAAAGATGTTGTGCTGCTCTACACAATACGGTGTAACACAATGCCGGCAGGCGACGCGACGGGGACACAAATGTTTCCCGCACGCGAAAAGGATATTGCTGGCAGACGCACAGAAGGGTGGGATAAAAGGGCAATAAAAGAGAGCAACGAGGAAGAAATTTCTAGGGAGCCGCTTCGGCGTGGGGACTAAGGGCGAAAAATTAATAAAGCAGTATTTTTCAGACGCAGAAGAGTAGTAATTATGAGGGGAGAAAACATTTTAAAAGCGTTTCCAAGTTCCCTTATTTTTTGCGTTCTTGTGTTAAAATCTTTGCAGCCTTCTCACTTTGATGAACGGAGAGAGAGAAAGAAAAAAGCGAGGAGGAAGAGTTTCTTCTTATACTTTGAGTAGAAGAAGAAATCTCCTCGGGAAGAAGGAACGTTTTAGGCACGGTTGAATCAGAGCCTAATTTAAGGTTACCTGGATTGTAAAGCAAAATGTCCTCAAGAGGTCTAATTAGTAAAAAGTATGATCCTTAAAATAAAAATGACCTTTGGAAGCACTTAATTAGCAAAGAATCTGATGAAATGTGTTTGTAATCTCTTCCCCAACTACTTCATTGCCTGTAGGTACCTTTAAAATGACTTCCATTGATAATTACGTACATTATATCATAATAACCTACTGCGTCGGTCAGTTTTCGTACACACTTTAGACGGGTCGGTCAAAAATGACTTTTTAGAACTTAATGAAATATGTAAATATTATTTAAACGAAAACAAAACCTTACCACGAACCAAAAAAACATTGAACTTCAGAGAGGAATCTTTCAACATAAATTTAATTGTTCGTGTTATTTGAAAGATTGCAAAAGAAATACAACTGTCTGCCGTCATTTACTGTGTGCAACGTTTGGTGGGTTGTATCTCTTATTTGTGGTCTGCGAAAGTTCTAGGGTGTTACATAAGTTCTAAGGTCTACTAACGTTTTATGTCGCACTTTAATTCAACGCATTGTACAGCTGCCTGACAGTTTTCCTTAGGTCACAGCATGGCGTTTGCAGACTCTTACTCCCGCCGAAGTTTTGCGGCTGCATCTTGCGTTCGGTATAATCTCCAAGCCATCTAGTTATTGTTGTACGCGGTTCCGGGAAGTCCTGCTTCCTGCAGAGGAAATAGTCGGAAAGAGCGGCTACTCCAGAGCCATGTCTCTGAATCCGTCCACAGATGTGAACGCCCATGTTTGTATACAAAATTAATTACACGTACGTGTACCCACTTCGTGCACGTGTATGTTCATATACGCGCACCCACTTGCTCAACTGACGCATTGCCTTTTTGTTCAAAAGCAATCTTGTACGCATTTAATAACTCCCATTATTCTTCGTGTTTTCGGGTTTTCTTCGAAATGTTTCATTTCATTTGCTCATTGGTAATGTTTTATAGTGTACAAAGTTGAGCGGCTTTAAATTTTAAATACATTCATTATTTCTTTTTAAATTTTTGACATTTGACTTTGCCAAAACTAAAGGCTGAATACGAGAGGAATTGAAGTATGAATGGGTTTACTTGATCTTTCTCTACCTTATACGATTGCACTTTATATGGGTTTTTCTTTGGAAGTAATGTTTCGGCGACGAAAGCAGTACAAGTCAGTCAAGTCTCATTTAACTTTTTTGTTTCACGTTCCTGCAAACATATCTCTAAAAATGACACTGTTGTGCAGACTTAACCGGTTGTTAATATTGAGAGATAAGAAGAGAGAGAATCGAACTAGAGAGAAATGCCCATGTTTCATTCTCTCATAGCACCGTTCTATTTCAAGGACTTTTAAAGGGACTTGACTGACTTGTCCAAGTGGTGAAATTCCCGCCTAATTTAGAATGTAGTCTTAAGAAAAACATAATAAAATTTCTGACACCACAAAAATAAAAACGGTCTGGCGGATTTCGTCAAGATGGCGAAGTGCATTTCAATCTAGTGAAGGAGGAACTTCACGGACGGATCGAATGGAGAGGCGCCCGATGACTTTTGCTGTGTTCGCAGCGCCGACCGCTAGGTGGCAGCAGGAGCGTGTTATGGCGGCCGGATCTCCGTTCTCGTGTTGTCAATGCTGAATTCCTCGGATTTCATTTTAGATTATATTGTTGTTGTAACTTTGATAGTGATTATCGCCTTGAACAAGTATGTTTTTTAATAAAAATTTAAGCTTAACGTGCTGCAGTAGATAAAAGCTATTTTTTAATAGGCTCCATTGGAATGTTATAAATTCGAAGAAATTGAAGACAAATTTCTGAGCTAATTATGTTAGTAAGGCAAAGTTAATACCCAGTGAGAAAGATATACGGTATATTATTTTAATACAGGATTCTATTTTGTCTTTAATCTCTAATTTGCAGAAACTGGGAGATACCAGAGAGCTATAAACTCTTTAACTGTTTTTTCTAAAGCTAGGAAGATCATGACGATTTTAGCAACGGAGGAAACGAACAATTTTACCAATGCAAAAAGATAAGTAGAAGCAAAATATCAAAAAAGATAGCGAAGAAGGAAAAGAGAACGGCAGGAGGAGGGAAGAAAGAGAGGTAAAAAGACGGAAAGGGCGAAACGGAACAGAAAAGGAGGAAAAGAAACAGAATGAGACGGAAAGAGTGCGGATATACGCATAAGAAGAGAAATTATGAGTAAAACGAGGAAAGGGAGAACCAGGACGATTGACAAAGAGTTGGGCGGGAAATTAGCGAAAAGCGGAAAGAAGACCTCACTCTGAGATATGGTGAACAAGAAACAGGGTGAGGAGGTGCTGACGTTCCGTGCTGCTGTCGGTCGATGGCCGTCGAACGGGCAGTCGCCGGCTACACGATTCAATTACGAAGCCCCGAGCCGAGCCCCGCCCCGCGCCCGTTACGCGGCGCCTGTTTGCGATGGTCGTCGTTGCGCAAGCGGCCGCCCCGCGCGCTGCCCCCGCGGCCTCGCGCGGCCGATCGCCTTACCGGACGCCGTTGCCTCTAATTCACTGGCATTTCCCTCGCGACGATGGACGCAATCGTGTGTACACCTGTTATTACTCGGCTGTCTCGGATGTGAATGACCATGATCGTGCATTTTCTTGAAAGTATTGGCACTTATGTATGCCGGTTCTCCTTGGTACTTTTACTTATTATGAACAGGCACTGCTCTGCACCGAACGTGATGTAGCTCATTAGTTGAAGTGTATGTCGTTCCGTAAAGTCTCAAAATTATATAACATCTGACCGTATCTCGTGATAAAGCATCGAAGAAAATTGTATGTTTACAGTAAACACTTCCTTTATACTCGTAAACGGCAAATGCGTAATTATAAACTTCTTGTTTTATAATACAGCTTTAATGCATCACACAATATTTGGACGTGTCGGTTCATGTTCTTTCTATAATTCGTTCTACATCACGTAACATGCTCTTGGGGCTTCAGCCATCCTCTCCAGAAGCTATTGATACATAATAAAGCATTTAGATTTTACTAATCTTGTGTATTAAGGAAATTCATTATATAATCATATATTTCAGTTGATTACTTTATAAATGTGAACTAAAATACCACAAATATAAAAAAATTCGTCATAAATGAAAAATTCTTCGCAAGGCATCAAGTTGGCTGAATACTATATATCCAGACCCGCCGCCTCCTCCTACTCCTCCAGAGAAAAATTATGTTTTTGCGATGAAACATTGCTGCTAGTAATTCTTAATCTATAATGTTGAATTATCACAACAGATCAACAGAGTTAAATAGGAAAAAATGAAGATAATTAACCAGTAGTAATAAAATAAAACAGTAGTAAAAACAGAGAAAAATAATCAAAATAAAAAATTATGGCAATTATTTTTAAATGGTTCTTCTTCTTCTTCTTCTTCTTGTTATTTATTATTAGTTAATATTATTATTATTATTTATTATTATTATTATTGTGTTTGGTTGTGGTTATTACACTTCTGGACTCTTTAAAAGTCAATTTTATATTGTGTATTAAAATCCACTAATAATGCAGTTCCAGCCCTTGAACCGTTCGTGAAGCACGCAGCACTACACATATGGGCGGGGCGCCGCCCAGGCCGGCAGCGAGTCGGCAAGAGAAATGGAGGGCGGGCGCCTGGGGAGCCGGCCACGCTCGCGTGGGGGAGCGGCCGAGGACGGCAGGGGAGGGGAGGGGCGGTCGCGAATGGCTCTTCCGTTGCGCTCCCGTTGGCGCTCGGATTTTCCGCGACCGAGTGCGGCCGGGCGAGGGGGCGCCGGGCGGGCGGCGCGGGGGAGGGGGTTGGGGGGGCTGGGGGGGGGAGCGCGAGGGAGCCCCACCCCAGCGGCTGCTAGGCGGCGAGACTTCCGCCAATTACGGGAGGAAAAAGCAGGATTACGCGCGTAACCCTACTCAGCGGAAACGGCGCCGCGCCTGCGCCGCCGCGACGCCCGGCGCCCAGCGTCGTGCCACTCGGCCGGCACGAATGCGAGAGGGCGGTCCATCACTGGAATATTGCTTTTTGTTTCAAAATTTATAACCTTATTCACTGTCTGTAACAGGTAACGCTTTACGCTAATGGTTTCAGAAAACTAGACACAGTCATAAAAACGTTGTTGTTCACTACTTAATACGAGGTTACCCACTTGACCTCTGTTATTTATTTATTTACCTATTTGTTTTGGTGA